TCACTAGGGGGTGTTTTTTCATGAAAATCTATGGGACACGACTTTGAATGAAAGTCTGTGGGACAACTTTTCAAGTGAGTTGCCTTGACACATTTCTTTTGTAATAAAAACAGAGAAGCCATTATCGGCACCTATTTCCTATTGGCAAAATGGCGATAACACTATTTTCGGCAATACATTCTGGCCGCTGATATATCGGTTCACCTCTACTCACTACCTCTGCTGGAAGTCTATTGCAAGCATTGACTACTCTTTTGGTAAAATCGTCATTTCCCTGTGTTCTTGACCTTGGCTTTATATTGAAAATACTGCCATCCTGAACTTTATTCACCCCGTTGATGTATTTAAAGGTTTCATTCATGTCTCCCTTTTCCTTTCATTCCTTTAGACTGTGCATATTAAGTCTTTCCTGATACGTTTTATCCCTCAGACTCTTTACCATTTTTGTTGTCGTTTCTGGACTTGTTCTATCTTTATCAATATCTTTTTGTAAGTGAGGTCTCCAGAACTGGACACAGTATTCTAAATAAGGTCTAACTAATGATCTATATGGAATCAGGCCTGTCTTCCTCCTGCTGGTCACCCCTCTAGTGATGCATCCTGTCATTTTTTTGCTTTTCCCACTGCTTGGCCACGCTGTTTGCTCCTTTTGCAATCATCTGAAATAAATTCCCTGAAATCTTTTGACTCTGTAGTCCTGACCAACACTGTAACCCCATTATTGTACTCAAGGGAGCCTTTTTCCCAAGGTGCATTATTTTACATTTTTAAACATTGAACTGAAGTTTCCACTGCTTTCACCAATCTTCCAGCAATGCCAAATCATGTTCCATGTTACTTTTACCTCCAAGGATGTCAAACCTATTTTACACCTTTGTGACATCAGCAATAAGACATGCCTTACCCAACAAACCTTTAGGTATATCACTTACAAATAGATGAAATAGAACAGGACCTCCATGTCCATCAGCAATCACTTTTGACTAGTATATGCCCTACACAACTGGATTTTGATCTGATCATCACATTCAGTGCTTGAATTTGACCAGAACCCTGATGTGGATCATACATTTGGAACGTTTGGCACCTTCTTAAGTGTTTTACTAAAAAAAGAATTCCTTAGAAATAAGTATTACACATAACCTGCCATTTATTGTTTCAGCCGTCTTGCAGCCTGGAGCAACTAGTTAAAATTGATCGAAGATACCTTAGGATTTAGTTGTTTTTCTACCACAGTTACAATTATTTAGTTGCTCAAAACTGGGCTACAAATGAAACCATGTGTGGTGGCAGATTGCTGTGTAGCATGCAGTTCCATGTGAATTACTTTGTGTATTGACAGCGGGAATCCAATGCTGAAAAAATTAGACACCCATATGATCTCCTGCTCATCCAGTGTCCTGCTCTTCTTTTAATTTCTGACAATCTAGTAAATTGTAGGGTCAACAAACACATGCATTTGCAAATGGTTGATATGGAATTAATACCCCAAACTTTGTTTTAGTTTTTGGAAAATTTACATTCAACATTCTGTTCTGCCAAAAATTGTTACCAGGACAGAGAAGGCAAATCTCCTTAGCGGGGGACACAGTCATCAATGAAAGCTAGACAGGGGTTCTAATTCTTCGCCACTCTGTACAGAACTACAAAAACAAATTTTGGTTATACATAAAATTGGATTACCTCGGAAGCAGAATCCACAAATAATTTTAGAAGCCAATGATGGTGGACACATTTATCTTTGTACCCAGAGCAATTGCTGATGGGTCAAGTAGTTTAGTACATGTGACAGTATGCAGGAACCTGCTTTTTGGTAACTGGGTCAACTTTTATAATATTCTGTGTTGAAGCTTTGAACCGCATGATCCTTATTTCCTTGCTGTCACTTTCATGTTTGTTTTATCTGTGATGGTTTCCCCTCTAACAATGAACCTTTTCATCTTTCTTCATTACCAGATTTCTCATCATTTGCACGAAAACAGATTAACTGAGTTTTGAGAAGCCAATTCTGTATGCTGTTGTATCTCCTACAGTTTGGGCACATTAACCTTTTCAGGCATTGATGTTGTTGACAGAATTATATTTATTTGGGCAAGGTGTACAGGAAGCATTGTGCAATATAGCTAGCGTGTTCATCCAAAGTAAACCAGGTTACAGTTTTTATCTGATAGCTTAGTTCTTATTGATTCATTAATAATGGAACCTGTTGTTTTATTTGCCAATTTTATGTAATGTTGTATTTTTAACAGTGAAAAGACAGTTACTTTGTAATCCCAGTATTAAAGGGTCAGCACGCCCAAAAAACTGATTTTTTTTTTCCTTAAGAGTTAAATCACCTGACAGATGCTATTAGTGAGATCTCTGTTCTCGACTTTCTGGATCTACACAACTGCTGTGGCCACTATGTGGGGGTCACATTATTTAATGTATTTTATAATATGGATAATGCAGTAGGAGGTTCTGGAAAATGGCTGGTGGGAATACCCACAACTCTCAGGTGGACAGGAGTTGGGAAATATCGCAGAGTATCCAGAACATGTGAGAAACCAAGGGCTGACTCATTCCACCAGGCTTCACATGTAACTAAAATATCATTTTTGGGGGACCCTCTTTAATATAGTTACGGCAATTCATTCAATATACTGCTGTTACTAATATCCACACATTTATATTGTAAAGCGTTGAGCAAACTGTTGGCGCTATATAAATCCTGTATAATAATAATAATTTACATCTACAACCATCTGTTTTTGTTTTGTTTTCTGTGTATTACCATTTTTTTTTCAAGTTCAAAGTAATACCCAATGGAAAGCTTAGGCTCCCCCTTAGAACTTGCCAAAAGTTATCTGAGATTGGTGTTGGTACAACAGATGGAATGTTTCTAAAATAAGAGCTAATTTGCCACGTATGTCAGTCAAAATAAACCAAAGAACTCTATTTGCTTTGATGTCCCAAGAGCTGATTTCTATGGCTGAGGCTTAAAAAGGGTTAATCATTTTTCAACTGAAATTGAAATGTTAGTAGAAAAACACTTAATTTAAGCAACTACCCCTCCAAATCTTTAGCTATGGAGACTGAAATCCAGCCAAACAGCTTAAAGTGGAACTGATGGCAAAATAAAAAATGACATATACAGTATGATACAGTATTAACACAACTGTCTTTGGTTTACTCAGTGCCCGTAACATAGTTTTATTACCTGTTGAGCCTGACAGTAAGGCTATTATGTTTTTAACTTCCTTTAACAGACTGCGCTGTCCAGAAAGTGTGGCAGTTAGAAGGTTGCAACAAATCCTTTACACTGACAGGGGCACTTACAATGCTCAGCTTGTATCCTTTTAGTTATAACTTTACGGCTTAGTTCACACTATCCTGACTCCATAGCCGCGCGACTTTCAGTGCAGCTTTGGAATCCGACTTTGATATGACTTTTGATGTGACTTTTTACACTCTGTGGCACTTAAGTTTTATCAAACTTGGATCAAAGTAGTACAGGAACCTATTCTACAGACAGACCGACTTGTGTAGTTTGCAGTTAGGATGGCTCTCATAGGGAAACATTGAATTTCACATGGGGTCTCATAAGTAAGCCAGATCCTATGTTACAGTAGTGTAAACTGAGCCTTAGTTATAAACTTTATATAACTTTGTATAAACTTTATATAGCTATAGGTTAGATTGTAAGCTCCAAGGAGCAGGGCCCTCCTAACCCTCTTGTATGAACTGTATTGTTGCTGTATAGCGCCAAACTGTTGGCGCTATATAAATCCTGTATAATAATAATAATATGCCTAAAGCATAATTTATATAAAAACATATGTATGTATGTATATATATATATATATATATATATATATATATATATATTTATATAATAGAACAGTTTTACCTGCCAAACCAATCTTGTAATCCTCCCAAAACGAATATCCAGGTCCTGCACCTCCCTGCAATATACTGTACATTGCAGTTAAGTAGACCATGTCACCAATCCATGTCTATTAAAGTGCTACTTTGCCCATAACAATGTGATAAAAAAATGATGTTCTCTAGCAAGAAACATACATTCCACATTAACAATTATGCCACCAAAGTAAGTGTGTAGAAATAGAAGATGAATGGCCACACACTCCATCAGGACGTCAATTGTTTTATTGATGCATATCAAAAGATTCAGAGTAAAAACATCACAGCACAGAGAACACACCTGAGAATGGATGTTGATGCGTTTCACGCTAGACAGCGCTTATTCATAACACAGGGCAGCTGCAGCTAACTGCCTTCTAAATAGTGAAAAAAGTCACAGGTGTAAGGTTAGTTAACTCTTGCATTATATCAAGCAATACAAAGAACAATAAAGTTGAAAACACCAATAGATACCCTGGCAAAACATCTATGAAGTAGTGCTAGAGATAAAATGTTTACAAAACAAATAAAAATAACATAAGCAAAAAATGCATGTCCTACTTATAATACAAAACAAAAAGTAATAATCGCAAGTAAAAAATAACAGAGAGAATTATAAAAAAATGAGAAACCAAAAATGCAAAGAGACAGCCAAGAAAAAACCTTATAAGAAAAAATAGGAAAGGGACCATATAAGAAAAAACCTGTATGCTTACAAGGAAAAAACTAAAACAGCAATAGGGAGACCCACAAGTAGCATGTCACTCATAATAGTGGGTGACATCCCATTCAAAATTTAAACCATCAGGTTTACAGGGTTGTAACTGATAAATCCAGTGAACGTCCCTCTTGCAAAGGATACGGAACACCCCCCCCCCCCCCCACACACACACACTTTTGGGAGATTAAATTATTTCAATAATCGGAATCAAAACAACAGAAGTATCATAAGAGTGGCATTCGTTAAAATATCTAGCAACATTGGTATAGTGTCGCTTCTCAATATCATATAAATAAGGGATGGAGGAACTTTCTACTGTGTTAGTAAAATTGAGCTACATATGTAAAATCTTTACATTAACACTGTTTATTGTCCTTTTTCAGGTTTGGGAAATGGGTCCAATGTGCTATTAACAGACAGGTCACAGCACAGGTCCTTGGAGAAAACTGCATGGAGATCCTACAAAGAATCACAGTGTCACCACATGCTAAAACATCTTCACAATGGAGCTCGAGTCACTGTGCAGATGCCTCCAGTGATTGAGGGACAGTGGGTCTCAACAGGGTAAAAGCATTTCATCTTCATATTGAAAAAGATTTTGTTTTCTTGTGTAACTTAAAGGGTTGAAAGTATCAACACACATTAGGGCCCTATCACCTGATTCAGTGGAACATCTTCAAGTTTGGATTCCAGTCAGGCTCTTCATTGGACATGGTAGATGAGAACATATATTGTATAATGAGGCCACCATTGCTGGGTGAAGGAGAGTAGAGAAAAATAGATAAAGGGGAAAATTCTAATGTTTTTATTCAATATTCTCTTACGGATATAGAAATAAGCAAACGTTTGCAGTCTTGAGCAAAATGTAAACCCTTCAATCAGCCGCCCCTATATGAATGTTGTGAATAATGTCTTCATTTCTGCCAGGTTTATGTCTGAATCGGTTAAATACATCTGGCAGGAGAGAGGTGAGCTATGTCTACATATCCTTATCCCAGTAGAATTCAGCTAACTGCTACGTTTCTTTATGTTCCCCTATATGTTTAAAAGGCTCTTTGGCTTGTGGCATTCGCTGTATTTTGGGGTATAGACTTATTATGATACATGTGTATCAGAAACAGTGACCACTGCTGTCAAAATGTTAAATTGCCATGTCTGCAGGGCAACCACTGAGCAATCCTGACACTGTTTTAGTGCTTACTGGCTTGACAGTTCCTGTGTCCACTCATGAGCTAGTAGAGCTTCCAGCCACAACAGGCAGTCTCCTGTTTCCTTGTGGTCTGGCATGGGACATGCCAGGGAAACCTGCCTATGGAGAGTTTCCTTGCTGTCTGGCTTTAGAAGTGCTTGGCAAATTGTGGCTGTTTCTTTTTACATTTATATTTAGAATCTAGTACATTCATTCCTTACGAGGCCATAACTCACAGGTTTTAATTCTCATGTCATGAGTGGGCCCTTTGACCATTTCAGAAAACAGAACCAACTCTATTATGTTTTGTGGTCATTAATGTATCTGAGTGTTTGTTAAAAGCCGCACTCCCCACAACTGACATTGCACTTACAGATTATATAAAACATAGATATGTTCCAGACAAGAATTTACTATTGTGCTCAACAAACACGCTAGAAGGGAAAAAAATCATACTTGAATTAAGTGTTACGAGACAAAGTAGGAAACTTGGGACCTCCAGCTCTAATGAAGGAACTTTGGTGGTTTTACTAACTATCCCACGATACAAATATTTTGATGTGCACAAATATTTGATGTTCCTATTGTTTTCCTTAAAGATAGACTGTTAGGAAAGAAATAATAAAACTTTTACTGTACAATCTCACACCATTATCCTGATTTCCATTAATTCAGTTGTTGCTTCACTGCTAAGTAGGTCACTGACCTGGAACAAGTAAGCATACAGGATAGGTGTCCTGACACTACACTGCTTCATTGTTCTAATCAGTGACTACTTCCTTTGTAGTGAAACATGGAAAATGGTGCACAACTTGCAACATTAACCACTTGCCCTCCAGAGGATTTACCCCCCTTCCTGACCAGGCCATTTTTTACATTACGGCGTTGCGTTATTTTAACAGACAATTGCGTGGTCATGCAGCGTTGCAGCCAAATGAAATTTGTGTCCCTTTTCCCCACAAATGGAGCTTTTTTTTGGTTGTACTTGATTGCCTGTACGTGTTTTATTTTTTGTGCTATAAACAAAAAAAATGACAATTTTGAAAAAAAAACTATATTTTTTACTTTTTGCTATAAAACCTATCCAGTAAAAAAATTTAAAAAATCAAATTTCGTGATAAATTTAGGCCAAAATGTATTCTACTTCATGTCTTTGCTAAAAAAAAATCCCAATACATGTAAATGAATTGGTTTACTTGAAAGTTATAGTGTCTACAAATGGCGGTGTATATACTGGAATTTTATTTATTTTTTTTACTAGTAATGGCGGCAATCAGCGACTTATAGCAGGACTGCGGCGGGCATTCTGACACTAGGGGGGGGGGGGGGGGGGGGACTGACTAACTACCACTGATATCCCCACTGACATTAATGCAGTAATCAGTGCTAATAAAAAGCACTGACACTGTACTAATGACACTGGGCAGGAAGGGGTTAACATCTGGGGTGATTAAAGGGTTAACTGTGTGCGTTTTACTATATTGTCTCTGTGTGCCTTACTGTGTAAGCACACTACTTTGTATTGCTCTGCTATGCAGAGCAATACAAAGCAGTGTGCTGGTGCTGACAGGGGAGAGATCTGTATTGATTACATACAGACCTCTTTCCCGTCAGCGATACTCAATGTTCGCCGAGTGCCAGCGGGGAATCTCTGGCTGGGACCCGATGATCGACAGCTGAAGCTGCCAATGGCGCACCCCCTACCTGGACATGCAAAATCACGTATATATACATGATTTTGCACAGCCCTGCAGCCCTGTAACAGTACTTCCGCTATAGGGCGGTCAGGAAGCAGTTAAAATAAGTCAGGATTGGCAACTTCCATATTTCTATCCTGACAAGTTTCCTGTATCCTGTGAAAGAAGTAATAAATAGATAAGATATAAAATATCATGTTTTGGACTTCTACGTATTTTTGGTTAAAGTTTTTAAACTGAAAGCCCCAGGTTTTTTAAAAATAAAATTTAAATTCCTGTTACTGGCCCATCATATATGAAAGTGTCTAAGGCTCCATTCACACCAAGAGGTGTGAACATGCACACATGCTTTTTTGCACAGTTCCCCATGTCCCTGCACATTGCATTTAGGGCAGGCCATTAGTTTAGTGGGCTGCCTATGTGCAAGAAATGTGCAAAAAAGGTGCCAGCACCATTTATGATGCTACTGTTGCACGCCTGCAAATGGGCAGTGTGTTTTTTTGCATTGCGGGATAATGCACGCATTCCCGCAACGCACTGGTGTGAGCGAAGATTTAAAGGTGAGCTCCAGGAATTATACCTGAAAAAGCAGCAGGTTATAAGTAGAAATTATTAATTACACTTACCCCCTGCTTTCCCTTCTGAAGTTTAGCTAAAAACAGTAATGACGTGTCATTGGGCTTCTGCTTCATGTGCTTTCTGCTTCCTATCTCTACTGTTTTCTTGTTGCATTAGTCACAGCAATAGAAACTTAAGGGTCTGCTGTTGCAAGGACTAATTTATTTCAGAAAACAGCAAGAACAAAACGCAAAGAGCGCACAGACTGCAGTTATCTAAGAGACAATATGAATGAAACTTCTTAGGAAAAGAAGATTCTAAGAAAGTTTGTTTACGTTTTTTTAATCATTAGTGACATTCGTTTTCAATCACAGTGACGGAAAAGGAGCAGGATGGATAATTGTCCTCGAATGAATTTTGAATGATAAACAAATGTTCTGAGAATTTTCATGCATATTTTCCTAAGAATTTTCATTAGACGTTCTATCCATCTATGGCCTTTTTTTTTTTTTTTTATTATTAATATCTTTTATTACATTTTTATTTTAATACAAGATATAACAATATACACTTTATCATGACATAAACAGTCCAACTAGACTTTTTTTTTTTAACCCTCAATCCATCCCTCCCTATGCCCCCTAAACCAATAGTTACACCTGTCCAGATAGTTCTTCCTATTTCTTTCTAAACCTGTCTACTAATCACAGTCAAAACCCTATATTCTATCTGCTTACATCTATGGTCAGCTTAAGAGACAGAGTAGGAAATAATAGAAGAGCTCTCTGAAACCTAAGGCTATCCGCTCATAGAAAGACATCACCAGGAGAGGGTTGCTCGTTGGAAAATTTCCCTTCACCTTAATTCTTGTGACAATTCATAAATGTTGGGTTTCCCATCACTTTCTTAACCTGGAGGAAACCAGACAGCAATGAGAACCTAATAAGATTCTAACTCTCCCTTACTCTAGCCATAACCAAAAAAATAAATAGGTTTACATATATTTTAGCTTTTATAAGCATATGTAATTTTGACTGCTCAAAAATCATAAATAATACGGGGGCGGGGTTGTTTTTCAGCAAGTGAACTGTCAATTTTCATTTTTAGACTTGAGATAAGTAAAGACTTCCTTTAAGTTGTTACTACTGTGTGTAACCCCACTGGGAAGATTAGGCCTCATTTCCTGTCCTGTGACAAAAGCATACAAAATAACAGCAGTTGGCACTGGAACTGGAAGACACAGCAATGCTATAATTTATGCCTTCTTTGAAAATCTTGTGAATTAAACCATGGTCATATTTTTACAGATGTGAAGTTCGATCAGGACCAGAATTCATCACAAGATCCTACAGATTTTTTAATAATAATAATACGTTTAAAGCTTATCAGTTTTATTATGGAGGAAACCATTGTACAAATCCCACTTATACCTTGGTTATTCGTGGAAAAATCCGTCTCCGGCAAGCATCTTGGATCATCCGTGGTGGGACAGAGGCTGATTATCAGTTGCACAGTGTACAAGTGATACCCCATAGTGAAAGCATGGCCGAAAAACTCACTTGGATGGTAAACACCACTTGTCCTGGTATTATACCCCCCGGAATGCCCTGGAAAATAGATGGCACTTATGATTTGTGGAAGGAAGACAACAGCTGTAGATGTTTGGAGGCTCTTAACTTTGCAATGCATGAACTTCAGCTCATTCGTGTGGAAAAGCAGTATTTACATCACAACTTGGATCATTTAGTAGAAGAATTGTTTCTAGGGGATGTTCATACTGACACCTCCCAGAGGATGTATTACAGGCCATCCAGTTACCAACCGGCTTTACAAAATGCCAAGGTAAGCACTATTTCTTATAATCAGATTTATGATATGGATAACTATATAACTGACCAAAAAGAGAGGAGCTTCCATAACCCTTGGGATCCATTTAAAGCCTTTCACCCTTTTAAAAACTTCCTTAATTTCATTTTCCCCAATTTGCCTTGACTCCAATGCATATCACCAAAATGGCAACTTTTGCTCAATTTCAAAGAAAATTCTACTCATAACTCTTAAAAGGAACTTCTTAGATTATATATACAGATTAATAGATTAAGGCAAGCATATGGGGATTGTGCAGAGCAGCTGCTTAAAGTGCTCTAGCACGGGTCCATTCACATCAGTGAGTTGCGGTAAAGCACATAATGGGGTTGATTTACTAAAACTGGAGAAAATTGGTGCAGCTGTGCATGTGTGCAGAGTTCGGCAACCAAGGAAGGCCTCTGTCCTTGGTGACATCACATCTGCCCAGCTCTTGCTGGTCACAGACACTTCCAGTTCCGGCGGAGGCGTTCTGGGACCCTTCTACCACCTATGGTGGCCCCTATAGCAATCGGACAGACTTTTGCAGGATGTGGATGACGATGGCAAACCTGGAGATTATCCCTTATTGATGGGCTTTTTTTACTTCTTCACTATTGTGAGTTTTTATGTATACAGTGACTTATTAAGTTGTGTTAATACTGCACTTAGAAGGCACCTCTTTCTCTTCTTTCTTATACATTATCTATATAGAGTTGGCATACTCTGGAATGGCTGCCACCTAAGCGATTATACAGTGATGGACATTTATGAACTATTATGGACTTTACAGGATATGAGCCTGTAGTGCACTGAGAGTGTTTTTTACATTGTTTAACCACTTCAAGTCCGGACACTTTTACCCCCTTCCTGTCCAGGCCAATTTTCAGCTTTCACTGCTATCACACTTTGAATGACAATTGAGCGGGTCATGCAACACTATACCCATATTAATTTTTTAGAGTTTTTTTGAGACAGATAAAACTTTATTTTGGTGGTATTTATTCACCACTGGGATTTTTATTTTTTTTGCTATATAAATGAAAAAGTCTAAAAATTTGGTAAAAAAGTGTTCTTCTTATAACATTTTGCAAATAAATAATCATTCGTCATAAATCTTGGCCAACGTTTATTTGGTTATGTTTTTAGTTAAAAAAAATAACCCAAATTAATTTATAATCAAAAATTACAATTTTTCAAAAAACAATTTACATTTTTTTAATTATTATTTATGGGTTTTTTTACATACTGTCACCCTAGCAGTACAGTGTCACCATAGTGACACTGTACTACTTGTGGGGGTTGATGAAGATTTCTCCTTCTCTCTGGCTGCATTCTTGCAGCCATTGAGAAATACTGTGAGAGCTGTGATTGGTCACAGCTTGTCGCATGGTACAAGGCTGTTGTGTACCATTTGATCTCTGTGATCATTCACACATTTCACACGTAGTAAGTAATGATATCAGAAGTGACATCTTGCTTACTACTATCAGAGGCGGACTGACAACTCATGGGGCCCCCGGGCAATAGGGGATCATGGGGCCCCTGTGTCCTTGCCCAAGCTCAAAAAAGCCAATGAAAAAGGTACCAGGGGCATTTCATGGGCCCCCCTACTGACCCCGAGCCCTCGGTCAGTGCCAAATAGGTCAGTCCACCCCTGACTACTATTCATGTGATCACTGTTTGGCCAATCAGTGATCACATGATCGGGACCTCACACAGAGGTCCCGAACAGCGATCCGGAGGACACAGTGGGCACCGAATCACAATGCTGCGCGCTCCCAGGGAGCGCGCACAGCTTGAAAATGCAGGCGCCGTTTATGAACGGCAACCCGCCCCTGCACTACTCCCGTCCGGCCGTTTATGTACATAGGCCGGACGGGAAGTGGTTACTACAAGGTAAACTTGTCCTTTATGTCCTTTAATTTCTAAGTCCATGGCCAGCTTTACTGAGCCAACCTGCAAGTAAATATGTTCCGACGTAAGCCTTGCATCCATGGCAGTAAAAGTGTTAAAACCAACTGAAATGCTTCAGGCGTTAATGAGTATAACATAATCTCAGTATGTTTTTCTCAGGAGCAGAAAAATAACATTAGTAAAACACGATATACGCTTTGTGCAAAATAAAACCTAATTAAGGAGAACACAGGCATGCAGTTCAAGGTTGGCCTTTTCATCTGCGCTTGTCCGCTGCTTGCCGTTTTATTTAGTCTAATTGCAGCTCCTCAGAGACCATGTTAAGTAACAAGACCCTGAGCCGAAGAGCCATTTTCACACACAAACCTGTTTGTTTAAGCGCTTATCTTCCCCTGGGGTAATCTAAGAGAGATAAGGTTCAAAAGTGAACCTCAATGTTTGTCAAAGTGTTGTCATCCTTCCATTAGTTTTGTTATTCCAAATAATATTCGAGCTATGTCGCTGAAATCCAGGCAAGCACACACATAAAGCCTAAACATTTGCTGAACTGGCCAGGCTGGGGAATAACCAGCGATGTCAAATTCTCCACTTGTTAGTGGCTTTGCTTGTGGCTGCAAATGAGAGATAATGAAAGGCCCACGCTTGCCATGTAGTGGAATGCCGCCTTAACCACAGAATCAGCGTGCAAGAAAATTGGCTATGTTCCAAATTCCAGGAGCTCTCGTACAACTTCAAGGTGGTAAATCAAACTTTCAGAATCCATCTATGAAGAACTGCAGCTCAAGGGCTTCTTTTAGGATTGTATATATTCATTTTAGCTTGAAATTTACCAAATAAGAGCTTCATAAATTATCTTGTATATGTCATGACTGAGCAGAAAGATTTCGAGTAAATCAGAGCAGGATGTTGAATATGCCGCTGTGAACTTTTAAACAGTAGCAAGCCCAGGGCTGTTAATATAGCCATGTCAGTGACAGCTGTCACCATATATATTTCTAGGTGCACCTAGAATGAAATACTTTTACTTAAAACTGGCTCCAAAAATAAATGATAGAAATAATAAATGTTTAAAAATTAATAAACAATTTGAAATTGCCAAAAAAGCCCCTTAATTTTTGATATTTGTATTTCTAGGTGCACCTAGAAAAAATACATTTCTTAAAAGTGGTTCCAAAAATAAATTCTAGGAACAATAATTCATTAAAGATTTGAAATCGCCAAAAAGCCCCTTAATGTTTGATATTTGTATTTCTAGGTGCACCTAGGAAAAATAAATTTCTTAAAAGTGGTTCCAAAAATAAATTCTAGGAACAATAATTCATTAAAACTTTGAAATTGCCAAAAAGCCCCTTAATTTTTGATATTTGTATTTCTAGGTGCGCCTAGAAAAAATACATTTCTTAAAAGTGGTTCCAAAAATAAATTACAGGAACAATAATTCATTAAAAATTTGAAATCACCAAAAAGCCTCTAAATTTTGCTTTATTCATTGACCCCAATGCATTCTGACAAATTGGTAAAAATTTTGTTGAAGTGGGCCCAAAAAAAAAATCAAAATTTTGCATATTTATTATTCCTGGAAATGCTCATTAAGGCATCTTTCACACAGGTGGCTGGGGGGAGGGGGGCAGTAAAGACAGGTGCTTGAACTAAGGTTTTATTGCTCCCTGGCCACCCACCTAAAGCCTACTTTGCAGAGGGCTGTTCAAATTTAACGCAGCATGTAAAAGATAAAATTGTAAAAAGTAATTTTAAAAAATTGTAGAAAATATTAATAAACAACTGAGGTTTAATTCATAGGTGTCCATAGAGCGTGAATGAGTCTGTACAGACCTTTGTGGCCATGTATTTGAGGCCTAAAACACTTCAGTGCACCAACACACTAAGGGCCCATTCACATCAGTGAGCACATGTTAAGGTTCCCATAACCTGTGTGCTGGTATGCATTATGCACAAGTGTTGCAGTCCATTGCTACAATGCATTTCAGTGCTTGATTTCATTTTTTTTTTTATTTCTTTTATATTACATTCATTCAGCTCTCTGTGATGCAGCACAATGCCGTGCATTGTAATGGTCTGCGTTGCAATGAAATGTATGCCCACATCAGTATATTAAAATGCACACCATTGCAGTGCACAATGCACTCTATGCATGAAGGTAAAAAAACCTTCTGTGTGCAGCAGCCCCCCTCAGTCCCCCCTAAAATTTACATGAACCCCCTCTCTATCCAGCGATGTGCACAAGAGCAGCGGTTCTCTGGGGACTCTTCCTCCTCATTGGCAGATACAACAGCAGGAGTCATTAACTCCCAGGAGTCATCACAGCCAGTGAACCAATGAGGAAAGAGCAGGGGGGCAGGGTTGATCAACTATAGTGTGTGAATGGACACACAGAGCAGCAGCTCTGGAGCAAGCCTGCTTTGGTGCCCCCAGAGCAAGCTGCTTGCTCTGGGGGCACTTGGCAGGAGGGAGGGGCCAAAAGCACCAGCGGGGGACCCAAGAAGAGGACGATCAGGGCTGCTCTGTGCAAAACCACTGAACAAAGCAGGTAAGTATACCATGTTTGTTTTTTTTTTCAATCTGCTTTTGTTATCTTTTTAAGAAAATGTATAGTTTGAGAGGCCTTTTACAAACTCTGAAAGCTGTAAGTGAAAAATGATAACCTCCAAATTGTTAGAGTAAAGCTGGCTATACACTAGTAGAATTTATCTTGCAATCTTATATTCTAAAATTGTTCATTCAATTTCCTGTTCTTAGTGGTGTCAAATCAACATTTGTTTTTAACCACAGAAAAAATTTGCAGGTGATAGATGGAAAGTTTTTCTTGAACAAACACATTTTTAACAGTGAATGTGATTTTCAATCATCAAACTACATTCATGCCAAAATTGAATGTTAAAAGTACACCAGTTCTTGAAGTACTTTTGAACGATATTCAGCCATCAAATGTTCAAACAACTTTTGTAGGAATGTTCATTAGAAAATCTTTTAGCGTATAGCCAGCTTAAGTTGCCTATTTACTTTTCATTTGCACTGTTGCACAAAAGTCATAATTAAAATTTAAAAAATATGTGTAATTA